CCCCCCCCCGGATAGCTACAAGGCAATGAGACATAAAACAGATATCAAGAGACACAAACACATGTCAGAGATGATGAACTCCTCGGGGGATATAAAACATCTCAGACTTCTGTTCTTCCTGACGGTGTGACACTTCCTATCCGGACCTTTCATGTAAAGGGTTTGTGCATGTTGCAATGTGAGACCGTACTTTGGGGACAGGAGTTGGGTTTTTGTTGCCCTTAAAAATGGTTTAATTTGAATGCTCTTTGTGAATACGAGAAAACAGAACCAGAAGCTCCGCCCATGACTTCCTTCGGAAATCCAGCAATGGCGTGCGCACCTAAAGCGTACATTAAACCCAAAGACAAAAGCCAGCCATTCGACGTGGCAGCAGCATTCGTGTTTTTTTTTTATTTAATTTTTGGCTAAGAACATTTTCAACAAGTACAGGAAATACCAGTCGAGCTTCCCTGTAATGAAGCGACTCCCTGGGAGCTCAAAGGAACGCACAAGCTTAATCTTTCTTGTGTAACATACTAATCCTATCAGCCCCATGTAATGGAGATGAGGAGACACCTCCTATCTTGCTTTTGGACAATCAACATCTGCCTTGACTCATTCCATGGAGTTGGGATTGAGATGTTACCTGCGAGGATATAAATGGTGGAATATGTTCCCGACACTCGAAGTGGCTACCAAATCTCTTCACCGTTACAGAATGAGCCTACTCCTAGCTATGCCATGACCTGAATACATGGGAACCTTACCAGACAAGAGAGGAAGACGTTTCCGGCACTGGGAGGAGACATGCACAGATATTTACTGAAGTCCCATGCAGATCACCCAACGTTTCAGAGACTTGGAGGTCCAACTCATCAAAGGCCTAATGCAATCAGTGCCAATCAACAAGAAGAGGGGCCATAGCTGCTACCTTGCCACGGGCTTCATTCTGGTCAGCTATATATTTGAGGCGGAGGCTTGCATTGCATGCGGCTAAGTACATTTGCCTCTGCTACCATGTCACATTTAAGATGTTTTGTAGCTTGCAACTAGCAGTTGCAATGGTGGCAGTACACTGAGGGCCTGTGCTGATGTTTTTTTTTAGGCTTTAAGTGGATTTTGCATTCCCAGAAGGTCAGAAGAAGGTTGAAGGAGGGCCGATGCAGGTCAGAAGAAGGTTGAAGGAGGGCAGATGCAGGTCAGAAGAAGGTTGAAGTAGGGCCAATACAGGTCAGAAGAAGGTTGAAGTAGGGCCAATGCAGGTCAGAAGAAGGTTGAAGTAGGGCCGATGCAGGTCAGAAGAAGGTTGAAGTAGGGCCAATACAGGTCAGAAGAAGGTTGAAGTAGGGCCAATGCAGGTCAGAAGGTGGTTGAAGTAGGGCCGATGCAGGTCAGAAGAAGGTTGAAGTAGGGCCAATGCAGGTCAGAAGAAGGTTGAAGTAGGGCCAATGCAGGTCAGAAGAAGGATGAAGTAGGCCCAATGCAGGTCAGAAGAAGGATGAAGTAGGGCCAATGCAGGTCAGAAGAAGGATGAAGTAGGGCCAATGCAGGTCAGAAGAAGGGTGAAGTGGGTCCAATGCAGGTAAGAAGTTTGAAGGAGGTCCATTGCAGGTCAGAAGAAGGTTGAAGCGGGTCCAATGCAGGTCAGAAGGGTGAAGCGGGTCCAATGCAGGTCAGAAGAAGGGCCAATGCAGGTCAGAAGGGTGAAGCGGGTCCAATGCAGGTCAGAAGAAGGGCCAATGCAGGTCAGAAGAAGGGCCAATGCAGGTCAGAAGGGTGAAGCGGGTCCAATGCAGATCAGAAGGTTGAAGTAGGGCCAATGCAGGTCAGAAGGGTGAAGCGGGTCCAATGCAGGTCAGAAGAAGGGCCAATGCAGGTCAGAAGGGTGAAGCGGGTCCAATGCAGATCAGAAGGTTGAAGTAGGCCCAATGCAGGTCAGAAGGTCAACTGCAGGTCACATGCACCTGTCAATGAATTCTGAATGATTCAAAACGTCTCAAACTCATGTCATAAACACAAGTCCAAAGCCCATTGAGATGATGTGTGGGTCCAGAACCTAACCCAGGAGGCAAATGCTGCCATTGAGATTTGATATAAATGTGGGCTGGTATGCAGGATTGCGGGTCCCAGCCGGATTTTTGTTACCGTGGTATTTTTTTATTTATTATATGTATATGGAATAAAGATCTGATGACGGACACATGGAGGATGGTTTTTGATTTGTATATTTTTTTTATTATCAATGAAATAAATCATTTGGTTACTTTTTGAATGATTTGTTATATAGCGTCCGTGGTTTTCATATATACGGTACCAATTTTTTTTATGTTTCTTTTTATTTTTTCATATATAGACACCACAGGAAGTAAGGTAAATCTTAGTTGTCACCGGAACTAGTGTCCCCATCAGATGTTTTTTACCCTGTTTGTGTGACAACTCAAGATTTTGGAATGTTTCTTCCGCTAATACAATGTATTAGATATGAAGACAATCGAGTGACATACCGCAACCAGTCCCTGCAGCCTCTGCTCTCCCGGGCTCCGGCAGTCCAACGATCTGTAACGTTATCGAGCTGAGGGACATTCCACAGCCTGGGGCAGAAGAGGATGTGGGTACCAGTCTAGCAGCCAGACAAGATCGAGGATTAGATGAGTATATCTTCTGGTCCAAACGAGCACTTAACCCTTGCAGTGCAGGGGAAGCCCCACCGCATGGGTCAGCTTTTCATATCCCTGAAGATCTTTAAGTATGTTTTCATTAAAAGGAGAACTATGAGGGTGAGGGATTTCTACTCCTCCTCATAGTTCGGGGCGACGTGTGACAACGAAACTGTCACAGGTCGGCTCAGTAGATCGGGAGGTGAGCGAACGCATACCGGCGCTCGCTCACTTCTCGATCATGTCCCTGCAGAGAGCAGTGACTGGCAGCCAAGGCTCTCTGCAGGGATTCCCCCCTCCAGCACTGACTGGCGGAACGGACGGGGGAGGGGGGCGGGCCTATCTAGAGACAGCTGGCTCTGTCTCTAGATAGGCAGAGCCAGCTGTCAGTCACGCAGCTGGGTGGATCTCAACAGTAATGTCGGGATCGGTCCCGGCTGCGGCGGTCTCTGTATACTGAGCTTTGGGGTCACGGGAGGACTCTAGTTTGTGTCCTCCCGTGACCCTGAGGAGAACTATGACCCCATAGTTCTCCTTTAACACAACCATAAAGTGTATAGATGTACTTGATCCGTGTACTTGCCTAGCTGTAAACACAATGGTCAAGGCAAAAAGTGGAAACTACAACAGGTTATGTCAAACAACGAGAACGTCACCTTTATTGGGCACACATTCTTCATCAGTCACATGGGGGGGAGTAAAAAACATTTAAAGCGGAACTAAACTCTCCCGTGCACAGGCGGGAAAACCAAAAAATTCTAAAGTTCTATTCCCACAGACTAGGCCGGAATTGTCAAATACAAAGGACGAGCTCGCTCACCATATGAATGTCTTCAGGCTGCAGAACCTTCTTGTGGTCTACAATCCGGCGCACCACTTCCTGGATGGCAGAGGCCGCCCACCGCTCATGTCCGTAGTAAACGCCCACAGAAATAAAATCAGTCCTTTGGATCATGTCGCCACGGTGTTACTCTGCCACCACTTCACTCAAAAAGTCTATGACGCGGGATGTCAGGGAGCTGTCCAAATGAGGAGGGGGGTGGGTGGGGGGGCATGAC